GGGCGTGTTGAGGCCAGCGGGGACTACTCGGGGGGCCTGTTAAGGCCAGCCAGGACAATTGAGCGGGGCCCGTCTGTGGGCAACCAGAAGACTTACCATCTCATGGCAGTAATCTCGTGCCGTTCTTCAGCCTTCACACGTGCGCGCGTGTGCCTCGTCCCTGAGCAAGCTGGCAGCTGGGCCGTGGAGCCGACACACGCCCAGCCCCCGAGCGCCCGGGCGGTCGGCCCGTGCACGCGACCGCGCCCGGCGCCAGGGCCACGATGCGGCTGCTGGGGGGGCCCTGCAGGCGCCGAAGAAAAACAAACGGCATGAGCCTGCTTTCTTGGAGGTCTGCGCGGATTTTTCGGGTCGGCGCTGGGCCCCCCTGGCGGTTCTTCTGCGCCGCCGCAGGCGCGCTCCGCGCGCCAGCGAGGGCGGTTCCTGCCCCGACGCAAGACATCCGCACAGACCTCGAAGACATTGTGCTTGTACGTTCTATTGGTTCCTCGAAGAGGTGGCTGGAGTCCGCGGCGCCCAGCCTTCTGGGAGGACCGCCCTGCCGCTTCTGCTGCTTGCCCAGGCGGAGCCTGTCAGGGGCGAGCAGGGGCCAGGGCCCGGGCCTCCTTTTTGTTGTCATATATACGTATTTATACATCCATGAATGAGAATACATACACATAGTGTGTACAGCTCATTCAGAAAATGGACGCACGCAAGCTTCGCAGAAGATGGACGAGAGGAGGAGTGTGAAGTCGGGTCGGAGGAGGATGAGGAATCGGGAGATAGAGAAGCAGATGCAACAGGAGAGACGGATATTTCTGAGATCGCCAGATGGCTATTTGGGATTGAGGTGCACTGGTGGAATCGCAGTCGAATGCCAGTGGCGTTGTTCTTCTTTGCGGTGAGAGTGGTTGAGCAGGGGGTTCCACACCATGCGATTGCAATTCAAAGCGAGCTCCGAAGTTAGCATTGGGAGGGGAGGATTTCTCGAGCGTACCTCTTGTGTTGAAGAACAGAGCGCAAGTTTCAATACGTCGGGTTTCAATGTTAGGGGGGGTCTTACGCGAGACGGTAGTTATTCCAAGAGTCTCGTCCTAAGTCATGAACATCCAGTGTGTTTTTGAAGGCATGTATTTTAACATGCTCAACATCTTTGTTGTGTTTCTTGAACCCTGACGTCGCGATCTGCGTGAGGGGGGCATCCGATTTTCGGACGCCTGAAGATGTCTCAAGCGGGCGGCCAGGCAATTCGAGGACGGGATCCTCTGGTTTCGCTTTAATCGATTTAGAGCTGTACACCGTCGGATAGGTGCGTACGACACGTTTTAGTTTTGTAAGCATGTAGAGCAAGCCCGAGGTTATAAGACGTTTGGGCGAAACCAGGCGGATATTCGAATTGATTCACAAGTGTTGGAATCATGCCAGTATCCGTAAGTCGCGAAAGCTCCGTTTGTTTGACGCTATCGTGATGATCAACTCCGCCGATCCGGCGTGTGAGTTGGAGGGGGGGGGGGGCGGGGTGGCTCTGCCGGGGTAGGGGGGGGGGGTCTTCCACAGATTGGGTTTCGGTTGGTCGGGGTTCGGTTGGCCAAAACGGACCCAAACGTTGCCAAGAAGCCGCCAAGACGGGCCAAGACGTTTCTTGATCGCCCAAAAATCTATCCAAGACGCCGAACATGAACCCAACACAGCCCAAGAGGCCGCCAAGACGCCCCCAGAGGCCCCCAAGAGGTCTTCCAAAAGGGCCCCGACCGGCCAAAATCATCGATTTCCCTTAGGAAAACCTACATTTTTAGCATGTTCGCCTCTTGGGCCTTCACAGTGTCCAAAACGGCTCAAGGGGCCCTCAAAAAGGCTCCAAGACGGCCTAAGAAGGGCTTACGCAGGCCCAGGAGGCCCCCAAGACGGCGCAAGAGGGCTCCAGGACGGGCCCAAGAGGCGCCCAAAAGGGCTCCAAGACGGCCCAAGAAGGGCCCAAGACGGCCCAGGAGGCCCCCAGGAGGCCCCAAGACGCCCCCAAGAGGCCCCAAAAGGCCCCAACTGGCCCCCAAGGACCCCCCAGTGTCCAAAACGGCTCAAGGGGCCCTCAAAAAGGCTCCAAGACGGCCTAAGAAGGGCTTACGCAGGCCCAGGAGGCCCCCAAGACGGCGCAAGAGGGCTCCAGGACGGGCCCAAGAGGCGCCCACAAGGGCTCCAAGACGGCCCAAGAAGGGCCCAAGACGGCCCAGGAGGCCCCCAGGAGGCCCCAAGACGCCCCCAAGAGGCCCCAAAAGGCCCCAACTGTCCCCCAAGGACCCCCCAAAGGCCCCCAAGAAGCTCAAAAGCTGCCTCCAAGACGCCTCCAAGAGGCCTCCAAGATGCCTCCAAGGCGCCCCCATCAGCATCAGCATCAGCATCAGCATCCCCATTACCATCACCATCATCATGATCGACATCATGGTCAGTGCCATGATCAAAATCATCCTCCTCCTCCTCCTCCTCCTCATCACCATCATCAGTAGCATCATCGTCATCAGCATCATCATCAACATCAGCATCATCATCATCATCAGCATCGCCACCACCACCACCACCACCACCACCACCACCACCACCACCACCATCATCATCATCATCATCATCATCATCATCATCATCATCATCGTCGTCGTCGTCGTCGTCGTCGTCATCATCATCATCATCATCATCATTGTCATCATCATCATCAGCAGCAGCATCATCATCATCAGCAGCATCATCATCATCATCGTCATCGTCATCGTCATCGTCATCGTCATAGTCATCGTCGGCATCGTCGTCATCGTCGTCATCGTCATCATCATCATCACCACCATCATCATCATCAGCATCATCATCATCGTCATCATCACCATCATCCGAAGCGCCCCGGATCGGCGGCACTGGCCGGAGGCCATTTCAATATTTGTACATTCTGTTGCAAGCAGACCGCAACATAATTAACAGTTTCCGACCAGCGTGTTTCTGAACAGTCATGCGGACCCAACGTTCTTGCTCAAACCGACATCCTTACGTACCAAACAGGTGCAATCGTACGATAAGAGATCATATCTGCCGGACCGCACATCGTACCATCACATCTGATAGCATTGGTGTGCGAGTCAGGGGGCACTGCGCCAAGACAGCGGCACTTGACCCAGAAGCGCGGCCGCGCCAAGCTGCAATGGGCTCAGTGCGTGTACGAGTTGGCGCTGCCGCTGGCTCGCTGGGCTGCTACCCGGGTCCCCGTGGTCGCCCTGCGCCGCCCTCTTTGGCCAGCCCCTGGCCCCCACCGCCCTCCCGGTCTCGCTATCGTGGCCCTGCTGGGTGGACGCATTTCTGCGCCCCCGCCGCTTGCAGCATCGCTTCTGCACTGGCTGGTCTGGTCGAGATCTTTCTCCCCGACCTATAGCTGGCAGCATCGCCGAACCCCGCCATACCCCAGTCCCGCTGCATTTTGCCGCCTGGGGCGCCGCTGTCCGTTCAGTCGCACCAGGGCATTGAGCCTCAGCCCCGCACTCCCGTCACACTTCTTCTTTGCGCACTGCAGCTTCTGCCCCGGCCCTTCGGTGTGGCCGCGACGCCGCCCCGCGCCCGCTGCCAGGGGTGCAGCACCGGCTGGTCGCCCCAGCCGCTCTGCAGCGGTCCCCGCCGCGTGAGCGGCGCTCACGCGGCGGGGCCTGCTGCAGTGAGTGGCGGCGCTCACTGCCAGTGAGCGCCCTCCTTCCTCCCCCCGCCCGCGGCCGCGTCTGTCCCTCCATTACCCGTCTTTGCTGCCAGACAATTCGCGATGTCGTCACCCGGCTTGCCCCATCGCGCGTGCGGGTTGCTTTTGCCGCGCTGCGACGTGAAAATGCAAATTGGAGCATTTATTCGTTTTCGCGATGGAGCGTGTTTCGGTCTTGCTTGGGCCATAACGCGCGTTGTGGCCCGCCCAGCACCCCCCCACCATGACGTAACGCTCCGGCCCCCAGAGCGCCCCCGGCACTGCCGCCGTGCGCGTAGGGATCCGCGCAGGAACCCGACTAGGGATCCGCATAAGCAACCGCGCAGGAATCCGCATAAGGATCGCACAGAGATGTCCATCGGGATCCGCGCATGTATCCGCGTTGGGATTCCCAGGGGCCCTGATAGAGATCCGCAGAGGTATCAGCATAGGGATCCGCATACTGATTCGCGCGGAGATCCGCATAGGGGCGGTGGTCGCGGGCAAGTTGCTCTCAGGCACTCATGATGGTGTTCGTAGGAGAAAGAACAATCGGAGGAGAAGGACGACGACGACGACGGCGACGGCGAGGATGGAGGAGGAGGAGGAGGCGAGGAACATACTTTTCATACGCCACGTGGAGGCAACGACGCCTTCGCAGGCATGTGCTCGCCACAGCTCGTCGTCGCTCTGCGTTTTCGGTCGTCGTCGTCGTCGTCGCGCTTCGTTGTCGGTCGTCGTCGTCGTCGTCGTCGTCGTCGTCGTCATTTTCGTCGTTGACGTCTTTGTCGTTGGTCGTCATCGCTCGCGGACGCTCATCGGTGCCAAAAACCTGCGGATGCTTTCGAGGGCCTCTGATCGCTTTTAGCATGACCTCTGGAAGGCCACTGGAAATTTCTGGGGGATTCGGGAGGTTTCCAAAAGCCTCGGGAAACCTCCGGAGACCTCTGGAGGCCTCGCTCGTCGTCATCGCCGTCGCCGTCGTCGTCGTCATCGTCGTCGTCGCCCGTCGTCGTCGCCGTCGTCGTCGTCGTCGTGGTCGCTCGTCGTCGTTGTCGTCGTCGTCGTCGTCATCGGCGTCGTTGTCGCTCGTCGTCGTCGTCGTCGTTGTCGTCGTCGTAGTCGCTCGTCGTCGTCGTCGTCGTCGTCGTCGTCGTCGTCGTGGTCGCTCGTCGCCGTCGTCGTCGTCGTCGTCGTCGTCGTCGTCGAGGAGGGGTCGTCGTGGTCCTCCCGTCCGCCTTTCGTCCTCGTCGTCGTCTTCGTCGTCGTCGTTGTCCGTTGTCGTCGCCGTCGTCTCCGTCGTCGTCCGTCGTCGTCGTCCGTCGTCGTGGGCGTTGTCCGTCGTCGCGCTCTCGATGTCGTCGTCGTCGTCGCGACGTCGTCGTCCGGTCCGTCGTCGTTCGTCGTCGCCGTCGCGCCCGTCCGTCGTCGATGTCGTCGTCGTCGTCGTCGTCGTCGTCCGTCGTCGTCGTAGTCCGTCGTCGTTCGTCGTCGTGTCGTCGTCGTCGCCCGTCGTCGTAGTCGCTCGTCGTCGTGTTCGCTCAGTCGTCGTCCGCCGTCGTCGTCGTCCGTCGTCGTCCGTCGTGGTCGCGCGTCGGCGTCGTCGCTCGTCGTCGTTGTCGTCGTCGTCGTTTGTCGGCGTCGTCGTCGCTCGTCGTCGCTGTCGTCGTCGTCGTCGTATTGTCGCTGGAAGTTCCCCGTACCGCTCCGCTGGTACAAAAAAAGAAACTTCGAACTCATCGCCCCGACTTCCCACATCGCCCCGTAATTCCCGTCAGTCGTCCATCCGCCCTTTCCTATTACAGGGATTCGGGAGGTTTCCAAAAGCCTCGGGAAACCTCCGGAGACCTCTGGAGGCCTCGCTCGTCGTCGTCGCTCGTCGTCGTCGTCGTTGTCGTCGTCGTTGTCGCTCGTCGTCGGCGACGTCGTCGTGATCGTCGTCGTCGTCGTGGTCGTCGCTTGTCGTCGTCGTCGTCACCGTGGTCGCTCGTCGTCGTTGTCGTCGTCGTGGTCGCCCGTCGCCGTCGTCGTTTTCGTCGTCGTCGTCGTCGTCGTTGTTGTCGCTCGTCGTCGTTCGTCGTCGTCGTCGTCGCTCGTCGTCGTCGTCGTGGTCGTTTGTTGTCGTCGTTTGTCGTCGTCGTTGTCGTTGTCGTCGTCGTCGTTGTCGTCGCGGTCGTCGTCGTGGTCGCTCGTCGTCGTCGTCGTCGTCGTCGTCGTCGTCGTCGTTGTACTCGCTCGTCGTCCTGTTCGCTCGTCGTCGTCATCGTCGTGGTCGTTGTCGTCGTGGTCGCTCGTCGTCGTCGTCCTCGTCGCCGTGGTTGTCGCTCGTCGTCGTCGTCGTCGTCGTCGTTGTGGTCGTCGTCGTCGTTGTCGTCGTCGTGGTCGCTCGTCGTCGTCGTCGTCGTCTTCGTCGTCCCTCGTCGTCGTTGCTCGTCGTCGTCGTCGCTCGCGTCGTCGTCGTCGTCGTGGTCGCTCGTCTTCGTCGTCGTGGTCGCTCGTCGTCGTCGTCGTCGTCGCTCAGTCGTCGTCGTCGTCGTCGTCGTCGTCGTCGTGGTTGCTCCTCGCTCGTCGTCGTCGTCGTCGCCGTGGTCGTCGTCGTCGTCGTCGTCGTCGTCGTCGTCGTGGTTGCTCCTCGCTCGTCGTCGTCGTCGCCGTGGTCGTCGTCGTCGTCGTCGTCGTCGTCGTCGTCGTCGTCGTGGTTGCTCCTCGCTCGTCGTCGTCGTCGCCGTGGTGGTCGTCGTCGTCGTCGTCGTCGTCGTCGTGGTCGTCGTCGTAGTCGTTATCGTCGTCGTCGTCGTCATCGTGGTCGTCGTCGTGGTCGCTTGTCGTCGACGTTGTCGTCGTCGTAGTGGTCGCTCGTCGTTGTCGTCGTCGTCGTCGTGACCGTCGTCGTCGTCGCCGTCGTCGTCGTCGTCGTGGTCGCTCGTCCTTGTCGAGGTCGTCGTCGTCGTAGTCTCTCGTCGTCGTCGTCGTCGTCGTCGTGGTCGCTCGTCGTCGTCGTCGTCGTCGTCGTCGCTCGTCGTCATCGTGGTCGTCGTCGTCGTCGTCGTCCCTCGTCGTCGTCGTCGTCGTCGTGGTCGTCGTCGTCTTCGTCGTCGTCGCTTGTCGTTGTTGTCGTCGTCGTCGGCGTGCGCGCGGACGCTTCTGGCGGCGCCAGAACCGCACGGCGGGGGGGCGGGCGTTACGTTATGCCCCCCCCCCGGGCCCCCCTCCCTAACGCCCGTTATCACAGCGAATAAAGACACGCGCTCTTGGGGTATGGGAGGCCCGCTAAAGCGCATGGCGCGTGCAGCAAACAAGTTGTGTATGCGCTTCTGCCACATAGGTTCTGTCTGGTTTTTGTCTGTCTGTCTGTCTGTCTGTCTGTCTGTCCTTGCCAGCCGGAGCGCCCCTCCCCCCCGTTTGGCGGGACGGTTCGGTTGACCCATGGTGCCCAGGGCAGAGCCCTCGAGAGCCCAGGTGGACATCCAGGTGTGCGACAGCGGGCGCTGAGCCGCGCTCCCGTGCCCCAGTGGGTGGGACCCTCCAGGGGAGCCGCAGAAGCCACCTTCAGGTAGGCCCAGGATGACGATGTGAGTCGCTGCAGTCGGAGGCCTAGAGCTTGACACCAACACCAATGTCGGCGGTGTGCCTCCACCGAGGGAAGATGCTCCCAATCTCGGTGATGGTGGTAATATTCGGGCTTCTGGGTGGCCGACAGAATACCACTACCACCGAAATCCAGGATCATCTTCCCCCTGTGGAGGCAACCCCCTGTGTTGGTGTTAGTGTCATTTTCCAGGCCTCAAATGCATTGCTCTAAAACGATGTCCGCAGCGTTCCGGAGCGCTCTGGAACGACCGTGGCGCCCGATGCGTCCTCCAAACCCGCTGGCTCTCAGACGTCCCCGATTCATCCTCATCTGGACTTCTCGGCCTGCGGCGCTCGTCCTGCGTCGGAGCGCAACCCCAACGCCTGGCCCTGGAGACTGTTCTTATATCCTCTGGCGCGTAGCGGTCGTTGCCCTGCCCCTCCCCCCAGGTAGCGGTAACGCTCGTGCGTCTTGGGGGCTGGGGCCTGGCCAGAGCTCGCCAGCGCCAGCGCCCGTGCTCGCAGGCGCCCTCCCGTTGCTCTCAGGCGGTGTGCGTGTGATCGAGTCGCAGGCCCCCTGTTGTACTCGCCGGCGTAGTGTGGTGCTCGCGCGCATAATGGCGATAGCAGCGCTCCCCCCGCTCCGACGTGCCCCAGCCCGTCCAAACGTTGCCAATACCCCCCCGGGTAGCGACCGCTAGGCGGAAATCTTCGGGGGAGAGTCCTGGCCAGGCAGGATGGTTGCGTGCAGGCGCCGCCTGGGCAGGAGAGAGACGAAACAGTTCGTGCCCATGCGTCAGCGATTTCCCCCCAGGCGTTTGAGGTTAGTCGAACGATCCGCGCGGAGTCAGAAAGCAGCGCCCGGGCCGTCCCGACACGACCCTGCTGCAGTCATGTTCCTTCTCCCGCTGGTCGCGCCGTGTCCTTCTCCCCCAGCTGCTCTTCACCCTCCTTAGACGGACGTGAGAATCCTTTTTGCTTCGCAGTGCCAGTCTCCTGATCTCTGGGCTGATCTCGTTCGGGGCCCCGTCCCAGGAGCCCCGCTCGCTGGCTACTCTGCGAGTAGTGGAGCGCGCTTGTCGAGAGTAGGAAGGGATCCCAGGTTGGATCCAGTCCGCTGGAGGCCACCTGCTCTTGTCTGGGCCTCCCAGCTGGGGTCCGAGCAGATGGGGTCGGAGGATGGCGCCGCAGCGCCGCGGCATCGCCGAGGCATCGCCGAGGCGGCTCGATGTGGAGCCCGATTGTCTCCACGCCGGCGTCGCCGATGCACCGCCGAGGTCGCCGATGCATCGGCAGCTTGAGTCTACACTGTCTTAGGCCGCTTGCTCTGAAGCCCCATCCTGCAGGGCCCCACCTGGCAATGGAACCGCCGACGCTTTCTCCGTGGCGCTGTCCGCCCGCGAGCAGGAGCAAAGACAAAAAAAAGTGCCCTGGCCGCCCTGCCCCGTGCCCCCTGCCCCGCACGCGCGCTTCCCCGCCTCTAGGAGTCCTCCGCCCCGCCGTGCGGGTAGAGGAGCTGGCGGCGGCCGCGGCGGACGCCATCGAGGACTGGTGGCGCGCCCCTGGCAGGGACCCCTCCTCGTTGTCCTCTTCCTCGGCGCCATTTTCCTCGTTCTCGCCGCCGTCGCCGCCATCGCCGTCGCCGTCGCCGTCGCCGTCGTCGCCGTCGCCGTCGCCGTCGCCGTCGCCGTCGCCGTCGCGGTCGCCGTCGCCGTCGCCGTCGCCGTCGCCGTCACCGTCGCCGTCGTCGCCGTCGCCGTCGCCGTCGTCGTCGTCGTCGTCGTCGTCGTCGTCGTCGTCGTCGTCGTCGTCGTCGTCTCCGTGCTCCTCCTTCCCGCTCCTTGCTGGGCGGCTGGGCGGCTTGGATGCCGCAGGGGCCACGTAAGCGGGGAACGCTGTACCTTCTCTAGTTACCTTGTAGAACCTTTCTATCTCCTCCCTCTTTTTTTCCCCTGGCTTCTCCGTCATCTTGTCGGGCCCGTTTCGTAGCCGAGCGGGCCGCATGCGGTAGAAGACGAAGCTGGTAATGTGCCCCTGCCCAGAAAGGCTTCAGATATCTCCCGGTGGACCACCTATGGGATTGAACTTGGAGGGCCCGGGGAGGGTGGCCCGTACCGAGCAGCCCCCCATCAGAGGTGCGCGTTGAGTTTCGGCGTGCACGAAGGCGTGGCATGGAGGCAAACGTCGCGAAGAGCGCGACGTGAACGAACATGTACTGCAAATATCGTAACGTGCGAGTGCCACGAAGGGTGCGCCGCGTCGGTGAACACCACGAGGAGTGTGAACACCACAGGTGGACCGCGTGGTCTGTCAACACATGCGCAGTACTAGTCCAGTGAAAATTGCACCCCCAGAAGAATCATACAGAGCATGACTGTGTCCTGCAACATGTCAGTCGTGTTCGGCTTTGTTTGTCGCATTTATCCAACATCTTGTGGATCCATTGTTCGATGTTGTTGTCGGCACGTCATCTCCAATGCGCCTAGAAAAAACGCGTTATGATAGTAGCTTCGGTTAGCGCGCATCATGTTATGCGCTGCGGTTCAGCCTTGGCACCCCTCTTAGGGTCGCCGCAGAAGAGCTCCATCTCGACTCTTCCTTCTCCCCGCCCCGTAAACTCCCATCACTTCACTCTTGCCCATACGTTCTTGTCTGCGTGCTTTGCCTCGCTTCTGGGCATCACATGTTGCACGACGGCAGTCCGCGGCAACGAAGCGGCCGTGAATATCACCATCTTTTGGGCATTTCGCATCACACCTCTTCGCCATCCGCACTCTGGATCCAAAAGTCGGCTGCACCCGCATTGGGAGGAGGGCGCGATTCTCCCCTTCGAAGCTCCTAGACTCACAGGGTGTGTCTGGTGTTAGCTGGGGCAGAGGGCGCACCGAGGACGAGTCGCTTTCCCCCGGCGTGCGGGTGCTGGGCCCGGACGAGCTGGTGGGCTACAAGGCTGTGAAGGCGAAGGCCTGACACGGTGAGCGGAGGTTTGCTGGGGAGGGCACATGGCATATGAGTACGATCAGGGGGGAAAACGAGGGGAGAGCGGGACAGACAGTTCTTGCCGCGTCGCGTCGCGTGATTTCGGGCGAGCTGCTCTGAGCAGGGAAGTCTGGGGACCACAGAGTACTGCTGCCACATCGTCAATGGGTCTTGGGTTTGCACTGCTCCTCCTCCTCCTCCTCCCTCCCCTCCTCCTCCCTCCCCTCCTCCCCCCTCCCCTCCCCCCCTCCCCTCCTCCCGCCTCCACCTTCTCCTCCTCCCCCCTCCCCTTCTCCCTCCTCTCCCTCCCACCTCTGCGCAGCAATCTTCTCTCCGGCTCTGCAGGCTCCGTCGCTTTGCCACGGCCTGGGCCGCCCATCTCTCGCCCCGCTAGCGCAGAGAGAGAGAGAGAGAGGGGGAGGGAGAGAGAGAGAGAGAGAGAGAAAACAAGAGAGAGAGAGAGGGAGAGAGAGAGTGAGACAAAACAAAAAGGGGGGCGCGAGGGCGAGCAAGCGAGCGAACGAATCAGAGAGAGAGAGAGAGGGAGAGAGAGGGAGGGAGGGTGGGTTGTAGGGAGGGATGTAAGGCATGTGATTGGATGGGAACGGGGAGGGGGAGGAACACCGGACAGAGATCAGAAAATTGAAAGGGAAGGGGGCAGGGCAGGGCGAGAGCAGACATTCAGTTTGCACCAGTTAGCGCAATATTTTCTAGCGATCCCCGCTGGCGGTGTTTCGCTGCCTTGGTACAGCTGGGGGAGCCAGTTTTCTTGTAGAGGCTCGCAGCAACCCGTGTCATGAATCGTAGCTCTTTTTTAGACCTCCGGTTTCTGTCCATCTGACGTGCCTCCCCTGCTTTCCGACTTCAGTCAGTCACGAGTCACACCAAGGGCCACGACATTTAGCGTTCTGGAGCGAGTATCGTCATTATTGTGTCTGGGATGAAGATATTTGGACGTACTAAGCTTAACTCTCACAAGGCACGTACCCATTCGTTTGCAGAACGATCGGGCATCACACTTCGAATGTGGCCAGAACGTAACACCATCATAGATGGTGTATTTGTCTTTGGGACTTTGTCTTGCAACGCCCTCTGGTCAACATCGTCTAACCGATCCCGACCCAAAACTGGGCCACCTGTACCTCAGCTCCACCAGCCCACCCTCCAAGGTGGGGACATTTTCCGCGAAGCCCGACGGGAACAGCACACATGTTCCAGGGTTCCGCGCCCGCGGGCCCTCTCCCCCCCCTCCCCCAGCGGATGGGATTGGCCCCAGGGCCCGGCGGGCCCCCCCAGATGGGATTGGGTGGGGGACGAAGTCGACGACGACGACGACGACGAGGACGGACGGACGGACGGACGGACGGACGGACGGACGACGGACGCACGGACGTCGACGACCGACCGGCCGACCGACCGACCGACCGACCGACCGACCGACGGACCAACGACGATGACGACCTTCCGCTCCCTGAAGCACTGCAGCCCCACGCCACACCCGCAAGGAAATGACGACGGCAACGAAGAGGGTTCCACAGCAGCACCACCCCGCACCCACAGGGGGGCCCAACGAGGGGGGGGGTCGATCTCACTAGCATTGGGGCGAAGAGGAGGGGCTGGGCCTGGGCCATATATCCCAATCTTGGGGGGTGAGTCAGCCAGTGGGGCAAAGGCCATGCCAGTGGAGCTAGGGATCGGTTGAGCGATGCATATGCTGAGTGAAATCTTTGTGGGCTTAGCATTACAGCGCAGAACCGAGAAAGTGTACCAAGATGGTTGCGTCCAGTGACATCCTCGGGATACGGTCCGCTTTGGTTTCGAAAGGGGCTTGATGCTCCTCGGGCCCCTCCGCGGCCTTCCTCCTGGCGCACCGCATGCATCTGCAGCCGAGACCCCTAGGGGGTCTTTGCTCCCTCCTCAGATGTTGCTCGCGGCAGTACCGTGACCGTCGACCAGGGAAGGATTCGGCCAGGCGAAGCTCGGCCAGGCTGAACCCGGCCAGTTGCACTTGGTCAGCCAGCCGAGTTTAGCCTGGCCGAGTTCAGCTGGCCGATTTCGGCCTGACCGCGTTTTTCCTGGCCGAGGTTAGTTGCTGCCCGCCCCCTCCCGCCCCTCGACGCCCTCCGACGCCGCCCGTGCGTCTCGGCGCGGCTCGCTGGCGGTTGCCGCCAGTCCGCAGTGAGAGCCGCCTGGGTGAGTGTGTGGGTGGGGGGGCGCGCCGCGTGCGCGCGGGCGTGCTGGTGATGGTCGCTGCTGCGACAGGCTGCAGAGGACCACCTGTCCGCGCCAGAGATCCTCAGAGGAGAAAGAAGAGGGCTCCTTTCGACTCCTCCGACGCGGTTTGGTTCGATTATGAAGGCTTTACGCCGCATCCGCCGACCCCTTGTTTTTGCATAGCCGTTATCGCCGGCTGTGGTGGACGCCTTTACGGCGGCGGTATGTGATTTCATGAGTCGGATGTTTTGGACTAATCGTGTTTTCGGGGTCGTGTTCGGGAGGCACGAGACTTGATAATTCCCGTAGCCCCTGCAGATGCGTGTAGGAGTGAGGGGCTGCTTCGCGAAGGAATTCCCGCGGCAGGGGCACATCAATGGCGCGCACGAGACGGAACACCTTACGAGGGGAGTGAAAGTAGCGTATGCAGATTGCAAGGACTTCTGTTTCACGGTGCGCAGTTGGCAGGCGTATCAGTGCAGCGGCACGATTCGATTCGATGTCGATCGATTCTGGTTCCGATGTTAGACGCTTGCCCAGCCCGAAACGATGCCCAGATGTAGAAGAGAATGCTCGGGAATAATGGGTTTGGTCACACGTCGTACCCCAAAAGGAGGTGGATGCAGGAGAAATTCGAAAAAGGATGAGGAGGAGGAGGAGGCGGAGAAGGAGGAGGAGGCGGAGGAGGGAGGAGGAGGAGGAGGAGGAGGAGCGCGGCGGAGGAGGAGGAGGAGGAGGAGGCGGCGGCGGCGGCGGCGGAGGAGGAGGAGGAGGAGGAGGGAGGGGGAGGGAACGAGGGAGGGGGGGATGGAGCGAGGAGGAGGAAGAGGAGGAGGAGGAGGAGGAGGAGGAGGGCGGAGGAGGAGGAGGAGGAGGAGGAGGAGGAGGAGGAGGAGGAGGAGGAGGAGGGCGGAGGAGGAGTAGGGCGAGCAAATAGGCCATAGGCTCCTTGGATGCCCCGCGGGTTTGTTCCGAGAGCTTCTTGGAGTCTTTTCGGGGCGTTTTCGGGGTCTCTCGGCAGTCCTGGGGGCCTTTCGGGCGTTTTGGATGCTATTGGACTGCCCCTTGGAGCCTCTTGGGGGTCTCTTGAGGGCCTCTTGGGTGCATCTTGGGGGCATCGTGGGGGCCTCTTGGGGCTTCCTGAGTACCTCGTGGGGCCGTCTTGGGCCACCCTTTGGAGCTTCGGGACCCATTTTGGAGGACATCGATCAAATGAGTGGGGCTCGTCCCCCCCAGGAGACCCACATGTGCCCAAACCGTTGGTTCAATCAGTGATTTTGGCTTTCTCGCCGAGGCCTCTTGGGGCGTCTTGGGTGCCTCTTGGGGGCCTCTGGGGGCGTCTTGGGGCCCTCTTGGGGCCCTTTTGGGGCCATCTTGGAGCAGATCGAGCAAAGGATGTGGGCTCCTTCCTTGGGGTCCCAGGGGGCCAAACTGTTGAGAGCTGGGAGGGGGGAGCTCCGCCCAGAGATACGGCCAGGGCCAAGCTACATGGGTTTTCGTGTGCGGTATTACCGCCAGAGTAATTGTTTTTCCCTTGGGCTGGCCCGAACGGGTGCCCCCCTCTCCATTACGGGCTCCGGATCATGTAATCCGCGGCGTGGACGCCGTGTCGCTTCGCCACCGGGGCCCCGCTCGGGAGGCCCAGCGCTGCCGCGATTTCCACGTCGAGCGACGAATGAACGCGGGCTCGTCTTCACCGACGCTGACGCGTAAACAGCAAGCGCAAGGTCGCGCGTGGGCGCCCTCGTCTCCGATGCGGTGTGCCGCGCTGGCGGCCTGCGTAAGCCGCGGCGAGAGGTCGCTGTGCCATCTCGCGTGAGAGCTGTTTTTTGCTCGTCGCCCGCGCGCCGTGCTCGTTGGTGTGTGGGCGGTCCTTCGGTGAGGGGGGCGCTGGATCGGTGATGGGGAAGGGGGGAAGATCGCAGGGGAGGAGCGTTGCACTGCGTAGGAAGCGCGGGCTCTCAGGAGGAGGGCGCGGGACAGAGCCGCCACAGACGGGATGCGTGAGGGCAAGGAGGGGGGGCAGGAGAGCAGGGGCCACGAAAATCGAGTGGGCCAGCATGGTCTCATACCTGCTTGTATCCGCCAAGGGGCCCAGAACGCCGCCCCTTGCCCACGGTTGCATCGTGGTCACGAGCGAGTAGTGCCGACTCGCGGAAACGGACAGCGGGACAATATTGTCCTGTTGCACAATGTGATTTATCGCTCAGGGTCTGGGCTTTCGAGCTCGTGCGCAGGTGGTCTTTCAGCGCCGCACTTTTCTCCTACTTTTCAGTGGCAGGACGTTCTCTGATTTTTCTCTTGCCTGCCAGCCGTCTGTCAGCCACCCCATCCTCAACGTAGAAACACGCTCCTGTTGTCTGTACGAGCCTCCGAGGGGCGAGTAGATGTTGATAAGCTGTTCTTTTTGTCCGTCGACCGCCTTCCATCCTGCCCCCCGCCCCCCACACTTACACGCCAAACGCACACAGAGTAACTCAATTCGAACACAACGGTGTTGCATAAAATCATAGCAAGCATTGAACACGTGATGTTCGAAGCGATTCGTACAGAGATAGTCGGGGCACATGCACGAACCTGACGAGTTGCTCTCCGTCCGAAAGCCGCCCACGAGCCGCCCGTGACAGTTCGGCCGCCTGCAGTTTGTTGGGCAGTTGTATGATTCTGAATTGCAGTGCAGTGGTCGTGTGTCCTGGGTGAGTCGTTTGTATCCCTGCAGTACTCGGGATCTTCAGGCATGTCTGCCCGCCCCGCTGTGATATATACACAGTGGGAGCCCATGCCAAGAAACACCCTGTGCTTCTCCAGGCCACCCTGGATTTCTTGAGCTTCACATACATGGGCTTGCGCGAAAAAGTGTCAGATTCCAAGACCCGGCATCAATCGATTTTCGTGGATGTCAGGGTTGGGTTTCTTGTGGAAGGCTTCTGCGGCCGAGCTCCAACTGCCATCCACCATCTTCGAATCGTCTTCTGCACGCGACACCGCAGCAGAAACCGGACTTGACCGTGACAAGCCTTGCCCTCCCGCAGTGCGACAGGAGAGGATATTCTTGGACTACGCAGATCTGGAGGACATTGCGCCCCGGCCCGTTGCGGCTGCCGCGCCATTCGCCCCTCCCACCCCCCCTCCTCTCTGTCCTTCGCTGCAGGCATCGGGACCTCACCGCAACTCTGGACGCTTCGCACATGCCGTCAGCCCATCCAGAAACGGTGCCCATCAGAGCTGTTTGGACGAGGAGGTTGAAGGAGGGGACCAGGAGCAGGATAAGCACGAGGGGGAGCAGGAGGAAGAGGACCAGGAGGATGCGGAGGACGAGGAGGAGGACGAGGACGAGGAGATGGAAGATTAGGGGAGAGGATGATAATGATCATGATGATGATGATGATGATGATGATGATGATGATGATGATGACGCTTACGCTGCTGTTGCTGCTGCTGATGATGATGAAGAGGATGCGGACAATGATGATGATAGTGATGATGATGCTGATGCTGCTGCTGCTGCTGCTGATGATGATGATGATGATATGAGATGATAATAATGAGATGATGCTGATGATGCTGATGATGATGCTGCTGCTGATGCTGCTGCTGCTGATGCTGACGATGATGCTGCTGCTGATGCTGCTGCTGCTGATGATGGCGATGATGACGATATGAAACGATGATAATGAGATGATGATGCTGCTGATGATGCTGCTGATGCTGCTGCTGATGCTGCTGCTGATGCTGACGATGATGCTGCTGCTGATGCTGCTGCTGATGATGATAGATGATGATGATGATGATGATGATGATGATGATGATGATGATGATGATGATGATGATGATGATGATGATGATGATGATGATGATGATGATGATGATGATGATGATGATGATGATGATGATGATGATGATGATGATGATGATGATGATGATGATGATGATGATGATGATGATGATGCTGATGATGATGATGATGATGATGATGATGATGATGATGATGATGATGATGATGATGATGATGATGATGATGATGATGATGATGATGATGATGCTGATGATGATGATGATGATGATGATGATGATGATGATGATGATGATGATGATGATGATGATGACGATGATGATGATGATGATGATGAGGAGGATGATGATGATGATGCTGATGATGATGATGATGATGATGATGATGATGCTGATGGAGATGATGATGATGATGGTGGGGGGTGGGGAGGAGGCGGAGGAGGAGGAGGAGGAGGAGGAGGGGGAGGAGGAGGCCGAGGACCAGGCCTAGGCGGATCTTTTGTAGTGAGAGCTTCGTGGAGGACTCTTGGGCCATCTTGGGGCCCTCTGGGGGTCTTCGCCGGGCCTCTTGTGGCCTTCTTAGGGCCCTCGTAGGGTTCGGTGTTGGGGTCCTCTCGGGGCTCTCGAGAGGGGTCTGCGGGTGATCTTTGGCCTCATGGCTCGAAGAGTGGGAGGGGCCTTAGTTCTTCACCTCCCCCCTCGGAGGCCGACACATTGCCCCTAGGGGCCCTCGTGGCGCGCTCTTGGAGGTTTTTTGGGCCTCGTGGACGGTCTCGGGGCCTGCCTGGGCTCGTCTTGGAGCCCTCTGGAGCCACCTTGGGATCGTGGGGGAAGGCCTCAGAGGCCAAGTGGCGATTTTGGGCGCGATTTTGGCCTCGCGGGAATTCCTTGGAGGGGGCCCAGAGCACTGGGAGCTGGCCGTCTGCCCGCATTCGTCGCTATTTTGTAAGTCTCTTCCAGGACCCCCGTCAGTGCAATCGCTGATTGGCGATCTATTCTCTCTTTCTTTTTGTCTACTCCATACTCTCCCTCTCTCTCTCTGTCTGTGCGACTCTCTCTCTCTCTATATATATATATCTATGTATATATATATATATATATATGTATGTGCATCTTGGTCTCTCTCTGTATATATATACACATCTATACGCGCACATATTATACAGATACATATACACAATTGTTTATGTGTGCTAACCATATACACATTCATATGCTTAGAATTACATATACACGTATACACATGCACATACACACACATACACCATGCATACACATACCATTACACGCATACACATGCATATACATCTGCAGTTCTAAACACACATACGTATACATATACACGCGTGTACACATCTATTTACATATTCATGCACATATGTATATACACATACATAGTGACTTACATATGCATAAGCATGCACATCCGTATACACATGCATGCTGCACACATGCATGCATGCATGCATATCACTATGCCTGTCCGCCTGTCTGTCTGTCTGGCTGCCTGCCTGTCTGTATGCATGTCTATGTATCGATACTATGTGCTTTCGATGTGTATATACATATACAGATACACGTATATGCATACTCACATACATACAAACATGCATACATACACATACACACATACACATACACCCACATACACATACGCATGCACATACATACGCATATACAGGTTCATATCCATTTACGTATACAAATTCATACACTTATACATACACATACACACATACATACACATATACTTGTATATATTTTAATTCCCTCTTCTCTGCATTTCTGGATCTGGAACTGGGAGCCCAGGAACCCAGTCACCCTCTCAGTCAGTTGCGCGGTGTCTTCATCTAGTCTTCCAGAATCCGCTAGGACTTTTTCAGAGCAAGGTCTGATTGGGGAGCATCCGATGTAGGACCCCTTGAGTGCAAGCAATTATTGTGGAATTAGTCTTACCACCTGTGCCCAGAGGGCTGCTGGGATTTGGTCGGTTCGCGCTCGTCCCCTCACGTTGGCTTCTAGGCGGAGGCGTGGTCACGATATCCAGTCTCGGCTACCGATACTTCTGCCCTGGCTGAAGCTTGTCTGAGAGAGTTCTGGGACCTGCGGGAGGCCTCGTCGAGGCCTCTCTGGGCATTGCCGGGTTCTTCAGGGGTTCATTGCAGTGGTCTCGATGAGATTTTGACATGGTTCTTTGTTGGGGACATTGTTGCGGCCTTGTAGGGCTACATTCGAAACTAAGCCAGTGCTCCTATACCTTGACCTGCATGCTGTTTCCAGACCATGTGGGAGGAGAGTGTGACGTTCTCAGTGTCAAAGTGTCGTGCACAGACAGGAAGGTCATCCCCGATCAAGATACATCATTCATGCCTCGGTCTATTCATCGATGTCATGACACCACTCGGCTTTTGAAGCTGATTAGTCATACCACCTGCCTCGGTGTGTTTGGTGTCCCCGTACATCGGCGCATGTGCATGGTCGTCTTTGTTATCGTGGCTGCTGGCAGGTGAACGCGCGCTCGACAACTGAGAGCATATAGAAGTACGTATGGAGATGGGGTTTGATGGCAGGGATACGCCTCCAAACACATCAAATGACGAGTGCGGATCGAGTGCCTTTTTGCAATTTCCCTGTTACCTCTCCCGTCCTTGGGATATTTGACGTCTGAGAGTTGTCAACCTCACTTTTCGAGCAGAGCCGCCCTGCCGTAGATGCGCTTGGGGAACATCGATCGGTGTCGGAAGATCTACGGAAAGTTCCTTGAGGCGTGTGCCCCATGGCGTAGACGAGCGTATGCTAGAAGTGGCATGGCCAGGCGGAGCACGGTGAGGCCAGGAGAGACTTTGAGGCGGGTGATACGCGGGGCAATTTCGGAAAGATAGCCACGACTCCGTAGGCGACTTGAGGTCTCTTGAAGGCTCCTCTTCCACCCACGGCCATCCTCGAGCCAGCTTCGGAGTCTCGCGGTGGCTTCAGGGACTCCCGCTAGAAGGGTCTGAACATAGGCGCGCACCTCGTGAGTCAGAAGCGTGAGTCTTGCTGCTTCTGTGAAGTGTGTAGAACCCCTGGGCCCAACACAGAATGGAAGCTGCTGCAGAGCCGACGCCACCAGATGAGAGGGGAGATACATATGGAGCTCAAGAGATTCGGGGAGACAGGCAGGCAGTAGCATCAGGCGCTGTCGCAGTGGGGAGCAAGTGCTGACCTTCCTATCGGCGCCAGCTCCCTCAGGGTCGCTTCCAAGAAAGGCGGACGCGTCAATCCCAAAGGTCTGATGCGCCTTGCGCCTTCAAGCGAAAGTGACGCAACCCGGGTCTTGTTTAGGAATCTGTTTCGTTGGCGCCCCTTCGTCCTAGAATCGGTCACATATTTTGCAGCAATGACTCTGCATTTCCAAGCAGGTTTTGCTCTGGCTGGCTTTTTGTGGCCCATTATGCCGATCCTGCTTCCGCAGGGCAGATTTGCGGCAGGGCAGAGGGCTCTGCCGGCACGCCCCCGACAGCTCCGTCGCCCCGACGTGGAGATGGGTTGGACGTGCCAACGCAGATTAGTTTCTTTCCGACTCGATCTGCCTCTGGCGCGACGAGGGTGGCCACACCCCTGATGCCATTCCAGGCCATTCGTGGCCAAGCAGGTAGTCCAAGCAAGCAGATGGCAACCCGATCCACCTGGCAAGCTTCTTTTTTCGCAGCGGTCGGCCTCCAGCTTTCCCTCCCCGTGCAACCTGGGCAACACATCCGTGCCTTCGCGTCTTGGCCTCTGGACCCTCCCGCTGTTTCCGAGGACCCACCACACGCTCGGAATGCCCCAAATTTGGTATCGCTCGGACGTGTGCACTTCTTCTCGGCGGGGATTATTAATGAGCATCCTGGATCATCCTGCGAAAAAGCACGCACGAAACCGAAGAAAAACCAGGGAATGGACGTCCGAGCGACGGGGAGCAAAGCCCAGGTGTCACCACCTGCGCTGGATCCGGGGGTGTCCTCCTTGTTCTCTATTGCCTCGTGCTCGTGCCTCGTGCTCGGGGGCCACGGCCGTGGACGCGAGTCGACTCCGACGCAAATACTTCGGAGGTTGATAGACCTCCTACCCTGACACGTCGATAAGCGAATTGACCGTTTTTGGCTCGCGAGAGGGCGCCGCGGCTGTCATTTTTGCGGGCCCAGGCCCGTCGGCCTCGGTCCCAGGCCGTTTTCACTAAGAGGGAGGTTTGCTAAAGGGAGCTTTGTCCAACGCCGAATATTGGCGAAGGCGCAACAGGCTTGGAGGTCCCCCGCAGCGGGCCAGACTTACTATCCATTTCCTGCCATATTTCGACTCACGGCCATTCCCTCCCCGACCCCGCTCTCCAGCACTGCAGCAAGAGGCGGTGCCGACCTCTGCCAGCGCCCACAGCGCACAGGCTCACCCGCAGAACCCGAAGGCGTGGAACGTTTTCGTGGACCTCGAGGACCGAGTCCAGCACCCTGGGGGCTATCCACGATGCAGCTGTATCGATCTTTCTCAGCGGGGATCACGTGCAGGATCGATTGCCTCGTGCCAGATCTGCTGGAGCTCGCACTCGCCCAGCGAAGCGCCGCGCAACGTGGAGCCGGAACATGTTGATAAGGCACTGCTGAATCCTCCAGTGAGGGGGGTGATCAGGGAACAGAATCGATCAGCCCAGCGCCAGCAACGGGGGATAGGGTCTCAGAGCCCCCAGGGTTCCGAGAGCCTCTCTCTGTCTCTCTCTCCCTCTCGCTCTTTCTACAAGAGCCAGGCTTGGAGGCTCTTGAAGCCCTGAGAGGTTCCAAGACCGCTGGCCCCTCGGGGGCGCCCCGAGGCGGGACGGGCTGGGGAGTGCGCAGGGGATCCCTCAGGTCCTGGGGGCGCCGACCATCCGCCCGCACCGATCCCGGTCAGCCCGGCCTCGGACCCCAAGGGTACGCGCCTTCCCAGCTCGGCCTGGAGGACTTGGCGCGCTTGCGCTCCCAGAAATCTGGCGCACTGTTGTTCTCAGCTTTCCCTGGCGGGGACCCCGGAGGTCCCCGCCCTTTCCCCGAGTCCCGTTCTTCACCCGGAGCCGTTTTTTCGGCCGCCCTGGGTCCTTGCCGAAGGGCCTCCCCCAGAGGCCGAGAACGGAGAAGCACTTCCGAACTGATGTTTCAGTGTGTCGGATGTCTGGGCACAATGATTCATTGGCTGACGCCGCACCGCCGACCACTTGGGGCGGCAGTGAGAGAGAAAAACGGAGTTTGCGGAACGCGCGCGATTTCTGGGGAATCTTGGGGTTTCAGCTTCTTGAGATGTCGTCGGGGGCGGTTGGCGGATCGCGGCTCTGCTCTTGCGTTGAGGCCTCTTGGGAGCCGTGTTGAGGCTTCTAGGGGCCTCTTTTGGGTCTCTCAAGGGCCTCGTGGGAGCCTCTTGGGGGCCTCTTGGCGCTTCCTCAGATTTTTTCGGGGCCGAGTGCTCCATATGTCCATTCGGGTTCCCCCTCTGGGCCGCCTCTTGGGGCCGTCCAGGGGCCCTCCCTCCTGGACCGTTCTGGAGGCTTCTGGGGTCGTGTTGGGGCCCTCTTGGGCCGTTTTGGAGCCCTCTTGGGGGTCTCTTGGGCTATCTAGGGTCTCTTGACGGCTTCTTGGGCCGTTGTGGGCCTCGTGCAAGTCCAAGAGGCGAATGTGCTAAAAACATAAGTTTTCCCCTGGGAATGGGACGGTTTTTGCTTCCTGGAGGCCTCTTGGGGCGATCTTGGGGCGATCTTGGGGTGCTCTTGGACCGTCTCAGGCCGTCGGAAGGCCGAAAAGAAGCAAATGCCCCAATCCGAGGAGGAGGAGGATGAGGAGGAGGAGGATGAGGAGGAGGAGGAAGAGGAGGAGGAGGAGGAGGAGGAGGGAGGAGGAGGAGGGAGGAGGGGGAGGGGAGGAGGGAGGAGGGAGGAGGGAGGAGGGAGGAGGGGGGAGGGGGAGGAGGGAGGAGGGAGGAGGGGAGGGGGAGGGAGGAGGGAGGAGGGGAGGAGGGAGGAGGGGGAGGGGAGGGGGAGGAGGAGGAGGAGGAGGAGGAGGAGGAGGAGGAGGAGGAGGAGGAGGAGGAGGAGGAGGAGGAGGAGGAGGAGGAGGAGGAGGAGGAGCAGGAGGAGCAGGAGGAGGAGTCACCCGAACCCGAGCCTTGCGTCTCCCTGACCCCGTGAGAGTTCTGCTGCTGCGGCGGCTCGCTGCTCCCTCGCGCCTTGGGGCCCGCCCCGTCGAGCTCGCCGTGCGGGCCCGAGCGCGGGCCTGGCCTGTGGTTAAGTCGGGCCTGTCCGTCTCCAGGAGGAAGATCCAAAAGCCGCCAAAAAATAGTCGGGGGACGATTGTTTGACAATCTTGTTTTATTTGGGGAGTATTTTTTTTGAGTATGTTCTCTTTTTCGCCCAAAATCCCCCTGTATGGGGGACAGGCCCGACTTCAGCCCATGGTGCCCTGGGTGCAGGCCGCGGTGGAGGGCGGCGCTACGAATCTCGGCGGATTGCGTGGCAGTAGCCGACCCAGATTCCAGACTCTGCTTCGGGCCCGTACGTCTGTCGAGAGTGCACGCGGGCGAATTCTTGCAGCACCTGCGCACCTCGGGCATGTGGTGTTCGATGATCCAGTGCTGGCATCTGATTCGTGACATGATTCCAGGAGCTCCCACCCAACCCACTCCCCCTCCAGCGCGAAGGCGGCGAGGAATGAGCGCGCAAAGGAGAGCACGAACGCCAGATTCGCCAGCACGGTGCACGCATGATCCGCATATTGCTGGGAGGTGAAGGGCGAGGGGAAGAAAGGGAGGGGGGGCCGGAGGGGGTTTGGAAAGGGTGGCGTGGCCGGGTTGAGGATAGGGCCTTGCATTCTGTCCGATGCGTGATTTAGTTTTTGTGGGAGTTGGCCCCGAGTTGGGGGCCCATGACCCTCACGCGAGCATCTCAGGACGCCCCTCGGACGCCGAGGCGAGTCGGCACAGCGGCGGCTTCCCGCCGCCCTCCTCTTCCGTGTTTGCCTCCGCCTGTAACGTTCTTGCCTGCATAGCCAGTTCTCGCCCAACCCGCAGTGCTGTCCTCGGGGCGACAGAAAGGGGACGGTGTCGACCGCGCCGACAGTCGCACGCAGGCTCCCCGCGTGAGGCCGCGCGTGAGCGCGCCCTCCTCTCCACGCCGTGTGCCCCGCGAGCGGCCCGCGTCAGCCGCTGCTCGTCTCGGGGACCTTCCTGGAGCCCACCTAACGGATCTGTTCGACCCCAGTTCGACTCAAGTTCGACTCAAGTTCGACTCAAGTTCGACTCAAGTTCGACTCAGGTTCGACTCAGGTTCGACTCAGGTTCGACTCAGGGTCGACCCAAATCGACTGACGTTCGACGCAGCTTCGACGCACGAGTGGAGCGAGTGGCTCCAGGAAGGTCCCCAGAACGAGCATCTAAGCGTAAGCCGTTGCGTAAGGTCGCTGTATCTTCTCGCGTGAGACTTGCCTTTTGTGTCGTGCCTCATCTGACCAGTCCGACGCAAAGACCCGCGTTGTCTCAGGAATGCGGCCGATGTTGCACCCGGTGTTTCGGTGGGCCGCCCCGAGAGCATCACGCTGCAAACCAGTTTGGCAGAGACGGGATGGGCGACAAGGAGGGACGCTACCGGCAGCACGACGTGACCTTTGGAGCCAAACGTATCCGTTTCTGGCCGTCAGCGACGGGTGTTCAGACCACCGACGTATGTTTTTTACAACGTCGACCTCCAAAGGTCTCGACCCATTCCTCGGGAGCAGCTTTTCCTCTTAAGCAGCTATGTGACAGTCCTGGGGCCCAGCGAGGGCCCCCAGAGGCCGAAAAGAACGAAAAACGTCTGTCGTGTTTTTTGTCACCACGCGAGTGGGTCTGGGTGCAGGGCAGCTTGTAGGGGAACGAACCATGACATAAACAAGAAAAATCGGAGGTCCGCGCGGATTTCTCGGATCGGCGGCACTGGAACACCCTCGCTGGCGCGCGGAGCGCGCCAGGGGCGGCGCCGGAGGCGCCGCCAGGGGGTTCAGCGCCGATCCGAGAACTCCGCGCGGATTGCCGAGCTGTCATGTTTATGTAATTTTTCGTTCCGCTAGCTTGGGAGATTGGAGCGCTGCGCCAGCTTCTCTCTCCCCCCGTCTGGCACCGGCGAGGACTCCGTGGGCGAGCTGGACCGAGCGCGCGCGCTGTGTGAGCTGGCCATCAGCCAGGACCCCCGCTCCGCTCGTGGCCCCGCACGGCAGAGTTCGGGCAGCTGCCCAGGGCTCAGAGTTAGGATGTTCCTACCTATTTTAGCTGTGATCGCCAAACAAGAAAGTGCCGAAACTTGAGGGTTTTCGAGTGTCGGGCTCTGGAGGGCGATGCCCGTTCGACACTGTTTCGATACTTTTCTGGGTGCTCGATATTGTTCCTGGGATGTGGTCCTGAAGTGCGATGCGAGCAACATAAGCTCAGAGGAGGCAAAGGTGCGCTGGGTTCGTGTCGTGCCGACGCGGTGGCCATCCCGCCGCTGGCGTTCCATACTGAACGCCGTCAGTGGCTCAGGCGCGGCCACTGCACAACGATCCAGTGATCGGAAAGCCACCGATCGTGCAAGGTTGAAGGATCCACTTGGTGTCAGAAACCAGCGCTGGGGCCGTCACGGCACGAATTTGCTGTAATGATGCTAACGCGTTCCAGCGTTTCGAGGACTCCCAGGAGTTCCCAGATCCTACTGTTCCGCACGGGCCGCAGAAAGAGGACCGATAGATCTTCCAGAATTCTTGGGGCGCATCTTGGGGCAATCACAGCATGACAGCGGTCTCGTCTCGAGAGCAGCCCTCCGCATCATCTTCGTGCCCTGGCCTGTGGCTCCGGTGCTCCGTGGCACAAGCGCTTATTGTCGGAGCTCCGCGCGGCTTTCTCGGATCGCCGCTGGGCCCCCCGCATGGCGGCGCCTCTGGCGCCGCCCCTGACGCGCTCCTCGCGACAGTGAGAGGGGGGATGCAGCGCCGATCCAAGACATCCGCGCGGACCATCGAACTTTGATGTCTATGCATGTTGTCGTATTCGAAAGAAGTCGTGGGAACCTGGAAAGGTCGCCAGGAGGCCTCGGAGTCGAAGGATGACTAACTGCGCATGCGTTGCAAATCTGAGGTTTGAAGGCCCGAATGTGAGACCACCCCCGCCAGGGAAGTCGTGCTTCGTGCTGCGTGGGACGCGCAACGTTCGCGCAGGGGAAGCCGTGCGAGCCCTGGAGTCCCCTCGGGGTGCTGGCGGGGAAGCTGGAGTTCAAGCGTGCGAATATCATACGGAACGTGATACGCATAGACCGCATCCGAGATCTTCGCCACTGACCTCATCGGTACGAGGCTGGCCGCACCAGGAAGAGATGACCTCCCTGGCGCCATCTGGGGCATGACACACGGACGCATGGTGCCGAGCAAGTTGCGCTGCCGCGTGGGGGGGGAGGCGGGTGCAGGGATGGGGGCTGAGCATGGGTCGCGGTGGGCTGGAGATGTATGAACGCTATCTTGGGAGCTTTAAGATCGTCTGGAACGTTGTCGGGACGCCTGGGAGCCGCCTGAAGAGACGTCGGCACATCCGAAGAAGACTAAGGAAGGGGGCAAATACTCCCCCTGGTAGCGGCCAAGAGGGGATCTCTCCATCATCCCAACGAGCGAACCAGGCGTCACCACAGGATCGCACCACTCCAGTGCGCGGCGGACAGGGGAGCATGTTTGAACACAGAGTAGGCTGCACGTCGGAGCTCGGGGGGCAGCAGTCGAAGTGGAATGGAGCCCCCGGATCGCAAAGTCGGTCTCGGTTTGGGTTCGTGCCATGCTCGACTCAAGTGTATGGATATAGTCGGGGGCTGCCTGACCTCTGGAAAAACGAACGAGTGAGGCAGGTTGACGCCTGTGGCAGCCAAGCGCTGCCAAAGAGAGGCTCGCATTCGGAGCACGGAGCCGCAGAGGAAACAGAAGCACCCCTCCGCATGTGCGTACTGCCTCAAACGCCTCGGAATGCTTGACTCGAGTGCGGGCGAGCTGCGCCGCGCGGGGGCGAGGCAGATCCCGACCCAGGTTGGGCCGGGCTGCCATGCGGATTGATCCGCCTCCCTGCCGTGGCGGGAGGTGCCTCCTGGGGGTGGTCCCGTGGCAGTCGCGTGCTCGCCCCGTCGTTCTCGCGCTGCCGTCCCGCGGTTGTCCGGCGGTCTCCCGTGGCTGTTCTCTGGAGGTCCCCTGGTTGCCCCGTGGTTGTTCCGGGGGTTTGTCTCGAGGCGCACCCGCGGCTTTTGCCCGCCCTGCTGTCCCGTGGCTGTCCCGTGGTTGTCCAGCAGCTGTCCAGGGGTTGTCCCGTGGTTGTCCCGTAGTTGCTCTTTGGGTTGTCCCGTGGTTTTTGTTTGTGTCCGTGGGCATCTCCCCCTCCGTTCCGCCACTGCGGCCACTGCTCTCAGCACAGCTCGCTCTGCAACCTGCTCAGCCTTGTCCCTCTGCATTTTGCCACTTGGGACTTTCTTCGGCTCCGCTGCCGCTGGCCCCCGCGCCCCCCTCCTCTGCTTGCTGCTTCCTCGACCTGCAGCCGCTGCCCTGGCCCGCGGGTGTGGTCGCGACGCCGTTCCGTGCCCGCTGCCAGGGGCGCAACACCGGCTCGGCCGCCCAGGGCGCCCCGTTGTGGTCCCCGTTGCGTGAGCGGATTAGTTCCTTCCCCTCCGCCCGCGGCCGTGCATCTCTTTGCATCCGGGCAAGGTCGCAATGTCCTCACCTGGCTTGCCGGAGCGCGGGTGCGGACTGCTCCTGCCACGCTGCGAAACTAAAGAATGCGCTTGTTGTGTAAGACCGAAGGTCGTGAGACAGATGAGCGGATAGCGGGATCGATCGTCGGTTGGGGCCGAGATCGAAATGACGCGGATTTCCCCGATCGCGAAATTGTTTGTGGTTTCGGTTTGTGCCGTGCGCGACGCGTGCGAGCGAGGCAATGCTGCGCGAGAGCGAGGCAGACCTTCGGGCCAGTCAGGGCAGGTCGTCACCAGATGGTACCGCCCCCCCCCGCCCCGGAGGGCGGTGGCTCCCATGTTGTCCCGCGGTTGTCCCGATGATTGCCTCGTGGTTGCCCTGTGGTTTTGTTTGCATGGCTGCCCCGTGGTTAGCCTGCGGTTGCCCCGTGTCCCGTGGATGTCGCGCGGTTGCCGCGCGGTTGTCCCGAAGCTGTCCTGTGGTTGTCGCGTGGTCCTCGTGTGGTTGTTCTGTGGTTGTCATATGGCTTTCGTGGGTGCCCTTTTTTTTCTGTCCAGCGGTGTCACGTGGCTGTCCCGGAATTGTCCCCCAGCTGTCTTGTGGTTCTCAATTTGAGTCCCTCATAGGCCGTCTTGGGGCTGTTTTGGCCCTTTCGGCGCTCTCTTGGAGCGTGTCGGGCGCTTTTCGGGTACATCTTGCAGGTTCGTCGGGCCGTTTTTTGGCGAGTCCACCGTCCCGGGGGCCGACGTGACACGCCCCAGAGGGCCGCCAGACCCACGGGGGCCAGGCGGATGGGCCGGCACCGCTCGGCGACGTTGAAAGGAGTTGTTTTCCGGCTTTCTGCCCATTCTGCGGAAATTTCTTGCAGCCAGGGTTGACTCCGCAGAGGTCGGGCAGATTCACGGGCTGGCCAGGGCCTGGGCCGGAAGAACAAAAAGAGGAGGAGGAGGAGAAGGAGGAGGAGGAGGAGGAGGAGGAGGAGGAGGAGGAGGTGCCACGCTTGCCGGCCTGGACGCGGCAGGATCGGCTCGACATGCCGGAGTTGGTCTGGAAGCGGCGACCACCGCTGCCTGCTCTTTGCTTCACATCCTCGGCGGCCGGCGGCCACCGAACATGCCCACGCTGCAGACATTGGAACGCACGGGGCTCGCGTGTCAATCGCCAGGGCTGAGGGTTTCCGCCAGCGCGAGTCGTCTCAGAGCGGGCACGCTTTTGCAGGTTTGGGGGCGCACCTTCCCAGATCCCGACGTCCTGTTTTTTGTTGCTTTTTTGTTGTCCCCCAGAGCTCTCGACCCATCCCCAGAGACCAGTGCGAAATCTCGGTGCTTCTCGTCGATGAAAATGGCATACAGTGGGAACCCATGCCAAAAAACACCCTGCTTGCCTCCAGGGTGCCCTGGGTTTCTCGGGTTTCTACGGCTTTGCTATGGACAGGGTGACGTGCCCACACCAGGAATCAATGGACGTCCTGGGGTCTCAGGGTTGGGTTTCTTGTGGGAAGTTTGTCGTGGTCGAGCTCCTACTGCAAACCTAACTCTCGGCGCTCTGCGCGGATTTCTTGCATCGACGCTGGGCCCCCGCCGCTCCTTGCTCGCTCCTCGCGCCATGGTGGGGGGGGGTCCCAGCGCAGATCCAAGAAGTCCGCGTGGAGCTCCGAAAGTGCATGTTTGTGTAACGGCTCCTTCCTCTGTGCTCGTCTAGTCAGGGCCCTTCTGCGCCAGTGACCTGGGGTGTGGCCTCGCGCTGTGTCGCCGTCTGTTGGGCCTCGGAGGAGGAAAGCGCAGCACCAGGGCCCCTGCGCGTCGCGAGCAGCACCCGCGCCAGCGTAAGCACCCTGAGGCGTCCGTCCGAGAGGCCCAGGAACGGGATAAGTCGCTCTAGTCGTTCCGGAGCGTCCCTTGAGCGTTCCAGGACGTTTTGAGAAGGCTGCGGCGCCCGAGGCGTTTCTCAGAGCCGCTGAATCTTGGAGATTTGGCATTTTTTCCGATCCGATGTTGCCCCGTTCTTGGCTTCGTTTTACTCCGGGAGCCCACGACCTCCGCCTTCGGACTTCGGTCCGTCCTCCGTCCTCGGACTTCGATCCTCGACCTTTCCCCTCCTCCCCTCGAAGAGCTTCTGAAGCTCTGGGAGGGCTCCGCGGGGTTCCAGGGGCCTCCAGGAGCCTTCAAATCCATGGAGGACCAGACGCCCGCAGAAGCCGCCAGAGGCACCGGGGAGCCCGCAGAGATGCCTCCGAGGAGCCTCCGGAAGTTTCCGAGGGCCGTCAGGTGCACCCGTGGGCGGCGCTCTGGGCGCCGCCCCCGGCGCGACTCGCGCGCCCCGGGGGAGGTGCTTTTGGGAGGGGGTCCGCGGAAGTCCCAGGGTCAGATTCATGCGTGTTGCTCCGGGGGGCACCCCCGCCTCCTTCTTCTCCTTCTCCTGGTCCTCCTCCTCCTCCTCCTCCTCCTCCTTCCCCAGTGGGGCAAGGCCAAGAAGCTGCGTGGCTCTGCAGCCCCGCGGTGCCGCAGGGTGCTCACGCGGTGCCCCGCGGGACCGAAGGCGTGTGTGGCCCTGGAGGGCCCGCGGCTTCGTGCTCCGAGGACGCCTGCAGGGGCACCCTGGGAGCTTCAGGGGCCTCCGGGGATGTCCAGTGGATTCTCCAGGAGGCCTCTGTGAGAGGGATGGCCCAGACTCGTTTGATCCTTTCGGGGCCACCAGGGCTGGCAAGCGGCAGAGGCCTCAGAGCATACGGCGGCTTTCTTCAGAGAGCGTGACGCAGACCCTTCGACGATTATCCGAGGCGCACGACGCAAACCTTTCCGACCCCTGTGAGGCCCCAGTAGGCGGGGCTAGACCTTTTCGACCATAGCGAGCCTCCCGTGGGGGCATCACGGAGCCTCACAGGACCTCGGAGGGATTTCCACGAAGCCTCCAGGGAGCCCCCAGAGCCTCCAGCAGACGAAGCCTTCAGGGCTTTCAAGGGATCCCTGCGGCCTCTTCAGAGCTTCCAGGTACCTCCAGAGGCATCCTGGGGCCTCTGGAGGGGCTGGCGCAGAGGACGCGCGTGGGACCGCAGATCCATGGCTACGCACTGGCGCCTAGCCTTGGGGGCTGCAAAATAATTCTGAGAGCCACGAGGGGCATGTGGGTGCCTCCAGGGAACCGCCAAGCTCTTCCAGGGGCCTCTCGCAAGATAATTGTGTGGAACTGTGCGAGAGCGCAAGGCCAAGGAAGTGAGGAGTACCTGCGTGGAATGGCCCAGGACGGGCAACCCGTGGCCTCCCGCTTCCAAGAGCTTCCCTCGAAGATTTTTGTTGCCTGCCATTGGCTCCCAACGTGGACACCGGCATAAACAGTGGAAACCCATGCCAAGAAAACACCCTCCTTGCCTCCAGGGTGCAAAGGGTTTCTTGGGCTTCGATGGTTTTGCTATGGAAAGCGTGACGTCCCCACACCAACCATTAATGGACATCTTGGGGTCTCAGGATCGGGTTTCTTGTGGAAGGATCCTTGTTGTCGAGCTTCTACTGACGGTTTTTATTCTTTATGTAAAACTGATGTTCATTTTTATTCCCCAATCAGAGCTTGCCTCTGTAGGGGTCCTGGCGGATTTATATGGTTAGGTGAGGGGGCGGCGCCGATTTCGGCGGCACGTCCAGGTGCCCGAGTGCCCGGGTGCCCTATAGCCCTATAGCCCTGTAGCCTTGTAGCCCCATAGCCCTATAGCCCTGGAGCCCTATAGCCCTATAGCCCAATAGCCCTATAGCCTTAATAGCCCAATAGCCCAACAGCCCAACAGCCCTAAAGCCCAATAGCCCTAAAGTTTTATAGCCATATAGCCCTGTAGCCATTTGGCCCTATAGCCCTATAGCCCCATAGCCCTATAGCCCTATGGCCCTATAAGCCTATAGCCCTGTGGCCCTATAGCCCTACAGCCCTATAGCCCTATAGCCCCATAGCCCTATAGCCCTATAGCCCTATAGCCCCACAGCCCTATAGCCCTAAAAATATTCAGATTGAGTTTTTTCTCTGGTATCATTCTTGATCTACATCTGATGTTCATTTATTTTGATTAGTTTATAGTTTTCTTCCAAAATCCGCCTGTAAGAGGACATGCCCGACCTAAGGCAACCCGTGGCCTCCCGCTTCCAGGAGCTTCCCTCAGGGGCCTCCTTTGCCCGCCACAGGCTTCCAACATTCGCACCGGCATACAGAGACCCTAAACGCTATCGCTGCGTGATGAGACCCGTGGCTGGCACGGCACGGCCCAGCACGTCCTCTTCTTCGCGCACCCCGGAGCTGCGGGCACGGCTCGCCACGGCACACGTCAGGGGCACGCCTCGGGCAGGGCTCTGGCCCGGCACTGGCGGCACGCATGGCGCACGGGACGGTGCACAATTTGTCATCGAAGACGCCTGTGGCGATCACCGCCGCCCCCTGCGTGTTGGAATCGCCCATCTGGCCGAGCGTTGTGGCCAGAGCTCTGCCAAGCTATCGCGCCATGTGTTCCCCCAGCCGTTGTGGAAACCCTTCGGGATTCACGCGGGGGAGAAGGGGAAGCGGAGGAGAGTGAGAACAAATTGAGAGGAGGAGTGAAGGAGGGAGGGAGGGAGGGATGGAGGGAGGGAGGGAGGGAGGAAGGGAGGGGAGGAGGAGGAGGAGGAGAAGAAGGAGGAGGAGGAGGACCAGGGTAAACCCAAGAGTCATCAACGATGTTGGAATGAACCCTCCCTCCAAGCTCCCTCTTCGTGGGCCCCTACAATGGTTCATTTGTATTGAAGGAACTGCCTCGTTGGAAGACAACCGTTTGAAGATCCTGAAGCGTGCCAAAACATTGCTCTCGGGATTTCAACGCCACGTATCAACCTGACTGCTGCGTCTTGACGATCCAGAATCGTGCCAGAAGGAACTGTTTGGGACTCCAACACCGCGAATCAACATAATTGTTGCGCCCACATAGTCCTGAATCCTTCTAAAACATTGTTTCTGGTACATTGATCATGGGAATCCGTGAAATCCGTGCATTTCCTACAACGAAAATACGCGGCGCTAAAGCGAGAGCCACATTTTGAAAACGACCCGCCCTCAATCCGTGAAACTCTGTTGCAAGTGTTGAAAACGAATGTGCGCAGCGCTAAGGCGAGAGCCACATTTCGAAAACGACCCGCCCTCAATCCGTGAAACTCTGGCAATCGTTTAAAACGAATGTACGCGGCGCTAAGGCGAGAGCCACATTTTGAAAACGACCCGCCCTCAAGCCGCGAAGCTCTGTTGCAAATTTTTAAAACGAATGTGCGCGGCGCTAAGGCGAGAGCCACATTTTGAAAACGACCCGCCCTCAAGCCGTGAAGCTCTGTTGCAAATGTTTAAAGCGAATGTGCGCCGCGCTGAGGCGCGAACCACATTTTGAAAAGTACCCGCCTTCAATCAGTGAAACTGTTGTGCACATGTTTAAAACGAATGTGCGCGGCGCTAAGGCGAGAGACACATTTTGAAAGCGGCCCGCCCTCCATCTGTGAAATTGTCACCACTTTTTAAACTTCAGAGTCATAACTGGTGAGGAAGTCTCAGGCGAAACGCCGGGCCCGCCCTAACAACTGGCGTCGGGGTGCGACAGTGAGAAGTTAATTATAAGGAGAAGAAATGAAGGAGGAGAAGGAATGGAGGAGGAGGAGGAGGAGGAGGAGGAGGAGGAGGGGGGGAGGAGGAGGAGGAGGAGGAAGAGGGAGGAGGCAGAGGAGGAGGAGGGGGAGGAGGAGGAGGAGGAGGAGGAGGAGGAGGAGGAGGAGGAGGAGGCGGAGGCCACGCGGGGCCTCCTGGACGCTTCCTGCGGGCTTGGGAGGCCTCTCGGAAGCCTCCTTGGGCCTCCTGGGGGCCTCGTGGAGTCTCTCAGGGGCCTTCTCGGGCCGTCTTAGGGCGAGCACGAGGGTGGACGCAGGTCCGCTCCGACCGTGGCTCACTTTCTCGGTGCTGGCTCCAGCACCGTCTGCGTCGGCAGCACACTGGCTGCCCGTCGCCCCCGCTCGATTGCACAGTCTCGAGCGGGGTGACGCCTCATCCCTTGCGCTTTCGCGCCC